GTAAATGAATTTAACCCATTCCAGACCCCCAAATGATTACCTATTTAAACTTATCTACCTACCCAACTAATGACGAAAAGCATTAACAATCAATATAAAACTAATACACAAATGAAAAGCACACATAAACAAACAAATGACAATCCCACGCTCCGACGAAGTGAGAGCAGACACACATACACCAACTTGGATGCTGATGCCTATGAATCGCTGTTAGTCTCGCTATAATTTCCTTCTTAAGTTCTAGTTACTCTCACTACTTTCCTCTTTGGTTTGGTGGTATCGCTGCTCACTTTCTGGGGGGGGCATGATTACTTTATCACTAAATGTACTGTAGATAAAGCACAAAAAAATCACACCGAACACAGAAACGCAGCTTTTGCACGTCGATCTCGGTCGAGAGGCACCGCGTCACTAACAGCGATTCATAGGCATCAGCGTCCAAGTTGGTCCATCAGAGACCCGTCTCGATCTGTATAAGTTTTGTCTGTTTTGTTTTGTTCTGTTCCGTGTTTTCGGTTGAGTTTTGAGCGGTTAAATTATTCTCGACCTACACGTTCAAGGTCTGAATTGGTAGAGTTATTAGCAGGAACGGTCGAGTTAAGAGACATTCGAGTTCCAAGGTTCCACTGTATTTTTCAAAAATACCATACAAAGACAAAACGTGAAAGACTGTTTTAAACTGAAAAACAAAAAAATTATAAGATTTAAACATATTTGAGTATGCAGTGTTCTTTCGGTCTGTTTCCTTTTTGAATACCTACTGGAATTTAAATTGGTGGGAAATGTGTGTAAAGTAATATTCATATTTAGTAATATCCTTTGTTGAAGAAATGTTTGAAGGAAGGCAGGAGAATGATATAAAATTGTTATTCAGGAGAAAACTAATCAAACAAACACATATTGTGGAGCTGATTGATTTCTTTGATTTTCGAAAATTCAAAAGACTAAGCTGATGAGATTCAAAGAAACTCTCTTCTTGCTTGTCTGACATTTACTGTTAATCTGTTGAGATCTCGTGTTTCCACCGCACCTTTCATTGTGTAATACCTCTATGCAAACCCCCTGAAAACAGAACTTTTTAAATGTTGCGATGATCAAATACACATTATCATCTAAATGCTTATATGCATGCATGATGTTACCTATGATATACTGTGTATCAAACAAAGGGAGAGCTCTCTCCTACCTGACTGAGCCCTGATCCAGGCAACAGCTTTTGCAGCCACAAACTGCCACTCATCCTTGAAGTCCATCTTATGACCATGTAGCCACAGAACTGCCAACACTGTGGCCCAGACTGATACAAACTCAGGCTGTGGAGTAAAAAAAATAGGATCAAGGTCCCTCACTGACCTGAGCTAAAGGCCTGAAAATACAACCAAATGTACTTTTAAGACCCTTAAAGTGTGGAACATCTCAGAGAATCACCTTTCCAGGTAAGGCTGTGGCCACTTCTTCTTCCTTTTTTCCAAAGATGGAGGCCAGCGATGGTTGAAGGTCCCAGGATCCATCTACTTTCTGTAGGCTGATCAATTCCAGCAAAGGATCTTTTGTCTCTGGTGCGTCTGTTTTGAGTTGACAGTTGATAAAAGCCTTGCAAATATCATGGTGATATTATAAAAAAAATACTAAGGAACTATAATATTTCTGTGGTATGATGTAGAAAGGCTGTGTCAATGTGTTAGTTTATCCAAGAAGTATTTTGTCTAGAAAGAAATTACTTACAAAATTATAAATAGATTGTTTTGGAAACTTCACTGGTGTTGTAAACGTAGTATGAAGAAACCTTTTCCTTTATTACAAATTATAAGACTCAAATAAACAATGCATTTAATGTAAGTAAATAAATGAACCTTGTTCAGGAGCAGGGGGCAAATATCCTGGATCTAAACACAATTTAATGAAAATGTTCTGAGAAACTACAAGTAGTCGAGGATAGATGGATAGATTATTCTGCCTGGGACAAAGTCGGCTGCTTAATGTTTACATGAATCAACCACTGACTGGATCAGGGAACTAGGGTGATGCACCTAAACACAATTTAATGCATTAAATTATGAACAGGAGTTGATGAACAAGGTGTCATAAATTACAATATTCAGCACTGACATTTTGTCTTTTATAGAAAACAGTAAATTCATACATGCTGGTATCAGCTCTTGAGGACATGTTGGGTAAAATGTGCAACTTACCCATAGGGGGGGGCATGGCTGCTGCAGAGGGGAAAAAACTGATGTAATAAACTGCTATAAACAAAACCTTTTTCAAAAATAATGAAGATTGTGAGCTGGACCTCTTATTTTTTGGAAGACACGGACAAAGGGCTCTACATGAATGATATACAGTCGACCCTCCTGCATCCCGACTTTCCCCATCACAGTTTTGAAGTATCGCGGGGAATTGAATGGGAATTTTTTGGGAGTTTTCTGAAAGCCACTGAGAACACGTGAAAGCCAGCAGGCGACACACAAAAAGTTCAGTAACTCATCAATGCATAAGATAGACAGCTATAGAAAACAAAGAGACCACTCCATTTTTTATATTTTTTATTTTTATTTTTTTAATTCTGCATTTTTAAATCCTGGTTTCACCCTGGTTCTGCTGGCAGGAGGCTACGCTGAGCAGCAGGTTTCTTCCAGCCTCAAAATTTCTAAGACTGCAGTGCACAAGAATAAGGTGAAGCAGGAGACACTGGGAACGACCAAAAACCAGCCAGGTAAAGGGCAGAAGTGACTTTCTAATGGCAGAGATGGCCGTTAACTTATCCGACAGTTTTTCATGAATCGTAGGATGACATAAAGTGACCTTCAAAAGGAATGGGAAACATTAAGCACAGGTGTGAAGTGCACTGATAGGACAGTTCAAAACAGGCTCCTAGATGCAGGACTCAAGCCCCATAAAGCAAGGAAGAAGCCCTTCATTAATGAGAAACAGCGAAGAACCAGGCTGCAATTTGCAAAAAAAACATATGTATTTTTCACAGCTGCACACCCATAAATTTAGATACGAGTGAAACAAAATATTGTGCTGAGGTCTCAATTTTCTTCATGGCTGCATGTACAGTGCTGGTTTGGAGGACGGCGAGCATCTGTACAGCAGCCTCTTTAGTGATCTCACAGTGATCGTTGTATCTAACATTTCTCATATCTTCTTATTTAGCTTTGCTCTGCTCACCAGGGGCACCCAGAAATTTTACTCAGATTTTTCCTGATCATAGGGGGCCCCCGATGTGGAAGGTACGACGACTAAATGTTAAAATGTTAAACTTACCTTTACGTTTCCTTCGTGTAATAAAATGACAAGACGCAAGGGCCATAGGGGCTGCACCTAAACACAATTTAATGCATTAAATTATGAACAGGAGTTGATGAACAAGGTGTCATAAATTACAATATTCAGCACTGACTTTTTGTCTTTTATATAAAACAGCAAATTCATTCATGCTTGTATCATTGCTCTTGAGGACATGTTGGGTAAAATGTTAAAACTTACCCATAGCGGGGGGGGGCCAGGCTGCTCCATTACAGAGTTGCACTGCAAAAACAAAAGAACAAAATGAAGAAAATACACACAAGATTTAAAATAAGGTAGAAACCAATCTATTATACAACTATTATACAATTATGTAATACTACATAAATGAATGAGGACATTTTGGGTACAATTTTGACTGGTAACATACAGATCATGGATGTTGCAAATGAAAACAAATATATACACCAATGTCTAAGCATTTTGACTCTCAAGGTTAAAACTATGCTGATTGTACTTTTCACTTTGGTGTCCTGACTAATTCATTGGTGGAATTATTTGATTTTGAGAGATGGATTAATTGTTTTGAGTAAGCTAATCCATAGTGTTGTGCTATATGCATTAACTGTTTTGAGAAATGCTGTTATAGTCTTGAGAATGTTCCATATGTTCCATAAAATGTGCCAAAGCAATCAAGAAAAACTTAAACAATGAGGTTCGTGAACTAAACATATAATTTTCAGGGTATAAATTGGTGCAGAATTAGGTGTATTATATAATTAATAATGGAATGATAAATGTCAAGGACATGATAATTAAAACGGCCATATACAAACCCATTCTCAAGCCACCACCTGAAAAGAAAAGATTTTAAATAAGTCATCTCCTAATCTAACTAACTACATAATTCAGCAAATGTTTAGCAAAAACGACAACTCAATGGATGGATGATTCTCTATGAAACAAAGTTTGCTTCTTAATGTTTATATGAACTCACCTCCACGTACGCGTACGGGTCTTGAACCTAAAATAAATGTAATGCATAAAATTACAAACAAAATTTGGTGAATAACATGCTGTTAATTACAATATTCAGCGTTGGCTGTTTTGACTCATATTTATATTATATATTATATTTATTATATATTTTATATTATTTGTCTCACATTTAATGCATTTATTCATGCATTATAGTCTGCATATCGGCGGGAGGTTGACCGGCTGGTGTTCTGGTGCAATCAGAACAACCTGGAGCTTAACACACTCAAGACTGTGGAGATGACAGTGAACTTCAGGAGGCACCATCAGGCACTTTTTCCTCTCACTATATCCAACAGCCCTGTAGCAACGGTGGAGACCTTCAAGTTTCTGGGAACAACCATTTCCCAAGACTTGAAGTGGGAGCCCAACATCAACTCAGTCCTCAAGGCCCAGCAAAGGATGTACTTCCTGCAGCAACTAAGGAGGTACGGTCTGCCACGGGAGCTGCTGAGCCAGTTCTACACTGCAGACATTGAGTCTGTCCTTTGCTCATCAGTCACAGTGTGGTTTGGAGCAACCACTAAACAGGACCAAAGGAGACTGCAGCAAACAGTGAGGGCGGCGGAAAAAAATCATTGGTTCCCCCCTGCTCTCCATCCAGGACTTGTACTACTCAAGGACTAGGAAACGGGCAGAGAAAATCACTGCAGATCCATCACACCCTGGACACATCTTTTCCAGGTCCTCCCCTCTGGCAGGAGCTACAGAACTCTGTAAACAAAAACCGCCAGACACAGGAGCAGCTTCTTCCCTCAGGTCATCACCCTCATAAACAGCTAAGCTGTGTCACCTGCCTTCTGTCAATTTCCCCTATTGTTTGCACTCAACCTTATACTTTGCACAGTGGGTTACCCATGTGTGTATGTTTCAAATTTTATTTCTTGTATAGTGTAACATTGTTGTATAGTGTCATTTATTGTCTCAAGTAGCCGGATGCAAATTTCTTCTGTGCCCCAGTACACTTAATAAATAAAGCTGATTCTCATTCTGATTCTAAAGGGCACCTCTTCAGAGATTCATCCACCAGAATCATGTAACTTACGGATGTTTCTGCGCAGTAGGGGTCCTTTGATTGGCTGCTTATTCTCTGTGTTGACGGCAATGAAAGCCGTGTAGGAGGAGCTGACTCCTGATTGGACGCTCATCTTCACTGCTCTCTCTTTCCCAGTCTTATCGCCCGTCTCTCCACGTTCCCCCTCCAAGGCCAAAATGGCTTTGCGGGCCCCCAGTCTGTGTATCAGCATGCTAAGGGACCAACAGACAAATGGACAGACATAATTAAACCAGCTGAAAATGACCAGCATCTCCTAATGATCTGAGTGTGTCTGTGTGCATCTTACCTGCTGTCCTCCTTCGGCTTCATGTTAAGGGTAAGTGT